TATATATTGGAATAACTAAATTCATAGTCCACTGGGAAATCGAGTTTGACGCTCTCGATTGGTGTAAATGTACGTACTCCTCAGATTTGTCCCCTTTACAAGCAGGGCCACTAATTTCTGTATAAATATCCATTAACGATCAATCTGCATGAATTACAAACTGTTTTGACAGAAACTCCTGAGTTTCGAACCAAGACAGGTGACCAGATCAATCTAGCTAATTAATCATGACTGATCAGAAGCGTGCTCCTCGCTTGAATGAAAGGATCCTTTCGTCCTTATCTAAAAGATCTGTTGCAGCGCATCCTTGGCATGATCTTGATATCGGTACGTATGTGTTTGTTTCTAGTTCTTGAGCTTTCCCATTTGACGAATGGATCGATTTGATTTATGCAGGACCAGAGGCTCCTCAGGTCTTCAATGTGGTACGTACTATCTATGTCGCCATTGTTTTTCTCTTTGATTAATGTTTGGCGTATTATGTTCGGATGTTAAGTACAGGTCATTGAGATTACAAAGGGAAGCAAAGTGAAATATGAACTCGATAAGAAAACTGGTCTCATCAAGGTTAGAAATTCATTAAACAGCCATTATCGTCCAGCCATAGGTGGTTGTTGTATTTCATATTATGCATGATCTGAAATACATGAATTATGTTCAGGTTGATCGCATCTTATATTCATCCGTCGTCTACCCTCATAACTATGGCTTCATCCCTCGATCCCTATGCGAAGATAATGACCCCATGGATGTACTAGTTCTCATGCAGGTATACATGTGATCACATTGCCTTTAGCTATCAACCCTAATCAAGTTGCAACTAAATTTGAGGCATTGAACAGGAACCTGTGGTGCCAGGATGTTTTCTTCGAGCTAGGGCCATTGGGCTGATGCCTATGATTGATCAGGTACCTTTGTGCTGAACATGAAACAAACTTTCGATCACCGATTTAAGATATTTTGACAAACGGGAATTGTTTTTAATGCATGTAGGGAGAGAAAGATGATAAAATTATTGCAGTTTGTGCTGATGATCCAGAATATCGCCACTACACGGATATAAGCCAGCTTGCCCCTCATCGTCTGACTGAAATCCGCCGCTTCTTTGAGGACTGTATCCTTATTGCATCTTCCATATATGCTACTGGTATAGCTTTTTAAGAACATCACGATTCAATAACTTTTCTTGACATATACATAGACAAGAAGAATGAGCACAAGGAGGTTGCAGTGGATGAGTTTCTGCCTTCGAAAACTGCTTTTGACGCCATTCAGTACTCCATGTAAGCTCATCTTCATACACTAAAGGAATTTGAACCCATTGGAACTTTACGATGATTTATTCACGATGACTATGCAGGGACCTTTATGGTGAATACATCATGCAAACCTTAAAGAAATAGATGGCCATATGGTGGACCGATTGATGATTGATAATGCGGATGCTGATGCTGATGGTTCAGCGTTGGGTGGTTTTCTTCTTTTTGTTACCTTTTATTAATTAATGGGTTAGATTGTATCTTTGTTATCTTTCCCTATAAATAGAGTTGATATGTCGATGGATCATTTATTATATATTTCTGAGTAAAGGCAATAACATCAAGAATTCCTATCATTCTCATTCTATATTTGACTCTTAATTGTTTTTAATTACGATAGGAAACGATAGAATTTCATGCATGTCTATAATAATTATAATCGGCCTTTTACAATAACGAGACAATTTTTTTCTTTTTTTGAACCAGCAAAATTTTATTACCACTGCCTAGCAAGATGCAGGGGCAGGAAGAAAAAACAAACAAGCCAAGAAAGTTACAAACACAAGAAGGGATTACAACTCCAATAGCCCAATTACATTTTCCTATTTTACCAAACACCAAAGAAATGACATTATCAACTGTCTTCGAAGGGGTAATATGTATCTTTTTGAACACTTTGTCATTTCGCTCTTTCCAAACACACCACAGAGTACCATAGATGATGGCTAATAACACTTTTGTTTTCTTTGGACAATTTTCTCAATTAACTGCGCGCATAATTTATTGCATCCCCCACTATAGAGAAAGTGAGAGGTGAAATGGAGCACCATTTGAAAATCCAATGCACCGCTTCTTGAGTGAACGAACAAGACCCAAGGAGATGATATGTGGATTCTTCAGCCTGCAAACACAGAGAGCAGGAAGAAGAAGCTATATGCACACCTTTATAGGGACCATTTTAATCCATACCAGTGGGATGGCTGGCTGAGGATCTAGTAAACTTTGAATCAATTATTCTCCTTAAACAATCGACATAAAACACACCATCGGAAGAGTGATTAAACTTGAACTTATCAAAATTTAAGGAAGAAAGTTGGGTTGAGTACATCAGTTTTTCTCCGTACAAAACAATTTATGTTTTAAATTGTTATAATATACATCTATCTAAAACATAAATTGTTGTGTACGGAGAAAAATTATTATAAAATAATCACTTCCCCTACAATATATATATATATATATATATATATATATATATGACACCACGTGTGTTTAAAACTCATGCATGAGTAATAAATACTTGTGAATTTAACGTACCATTAAAAGCTTAGATTCGTTCCCTTCTAGAGAACGATCTAAAATTTTGATAGATATTGTCAAATTTTTTAAAACTAATATTACAACAAAATACTCTATTCAATATATAATAAACTATGTCATTAATAGAAATTTGAAAAATTTGGAGAAATTAATAAACTTTGTGCCAGAACAATGAAATTGCTTCTAACATGGGCAAACTTCCTATATGCATGGCTATCAGGAGTTTCGGCTCATCGAGAGCTTTTTGTTCATATAAATTAATCCTCGTAACTCCATATCATTCTCCCTAACTTAAGAATGCCTTGAATTATTAGGATAAACAACCTCCTCTTGTTGTTAGTATGTATAGATGTTAAATATATATGTTATAAACCCTTAGGAAATGGACATGGTGTTAAGAAGGTTGATGCTATACATGTTCTCATTAAAACCATACCTTACATCGATTGGATAAATATTCCCCCTCTCCTATTTATGCATCTTTTATATCTTCAAAAAGTTTTTTTTATGTGCTATTATTTTTACTTCCTAGCACGGCCAAGTATACCACTTGTTGTAGGCATGTAATTTAAACTCAATTTTTGTCTACATATACAATGATCTTGTTCACTAACACATGCAAAGGACAACTTTGATGTTTTCGTCATACTACGTACGAACGGGGTATGCTGCTGAAATGGAATCATGTACCCACACTTCCCAAAAAGCTTAGCTTGCAATGAACTAGAAACTTACTATCACAATAAAAAATGATCAACTTGGGAACATCTTGCAAGTATACAATTTTCTAAAAGAATCTTTTGACAAAATTGACATCATCAAGCTGGGAACATATTGCAAGTATACAATTTTCTAAAAGAATCTTTTGACAAAATTGACATCATCAAGCATATTTCCGCATGGTATAATTTAACCATCTTTAAGATACGGTCAACAAAAACAAATACTGAGTTTACACATCCTTAAGTATGTGGAAGACCCAAAATGAAGTCCAAAAAGAAATCCATCCATATACTTTTTACTCTTTTTTACCTTTATGGTATACCATATATATACCATTCAACAAAAATACACTTGCTCAGATTTAGCTATAGCAAAATTTTACCTTTCCTCAACTGCAGAAAACATTTTTCTTGACGAATGTGCTCTTTTAAGCCTAGGACATATAACTCATGGATTATATTTTCTTATAGGGAGCTTTTTGTATGTGATTTTTTTCCCTTGAATGTGTTGATTTATTTCCCTTTATAACCTCTTTACTTTTGCAGAAAAGAACGGAAGATGGAGTATTTCCTATTTTTGTAATATATGTGTAGAGGAAGAGAACACAAAATTGATAAAAGTTGAGAGAAAGTTGCATTTGATTACTTTCAAACTTATAAACTTCCTTTATACAAAAAGAACATACATTAAAATAGAGAACTACTTTCTAGACATTATCCACCTACTTCAATAAAGATACATAGATGGAAAATGGTTTGGCTGACAGTCTTGATTAAAAACAAAGAAATGACTAGAGTAGATAAGATAAAATAGAAAGTCCCACGTGATTGTACCCATCTAGTTTTAAAAACATATGGATTATTCTAATATTTTCCCTCCTAATCTATAGTTTTGAATCTGCTTCACTCCCAACAAGTTACACATCTCCTCAAACTCGTTGCTTGCCATAGACTTTGTGAAAATATATGCCTTCTGTTCTTTGCTGCTCACATGCGTGATTTTTATATCTCCATTCTCGAAACACTCACTTATGAAATGAAACCTTGTTTCTATGTGTTTGCTTCTCCAATGAAACACTTGGTTTTCTTATCAACTCTATGGTTGATTTGTTGCTAACATGCAACACCACATGACTGACTATATTTCATGTTAATTCACTAAGCAATCGACGTGACCATATCCCTTGGCACGTTGCACTTGTCACGGCCATGAATTCTACTTCACATGAGGAAAGAGATACACTCCATTGTTTTTGCGACCCCCAAGTAACCAAATTTTCATTGAGAGAGAACATCATTCCTAATGTGTCGCGTCTATCATTTATGTCCCTTACAAGATCATTGTCTGTGTAGCCGATTACAATATCTTCTCTACTCCTCCTAGTGTAGGTTAATCCATAGTTAATGGTTCCTTCGATGTACCTCAGAATATGTTTCAATGCTTGTAGATTCTTGACTGTGGGTCTCTCCATGAATCGGCTTACTATCCCAACAACATAAGAGATGTTGGGGTCAAGTGTGAGTGAGATATCTTAAACCTCCGATAATGCTCCTATACTACGTAGGGTTCACCGGGTCTCCCTCTTCATCCTTTGTTATCTCTAACTTGGGTTCCGTTAGGTATTTTCATGAGTTGCACTCAGTCATGCCTGCCTTTTCTAGGATATTTTTGCATATGTTGTTTGCTTTAGAGTAATACCATTCTTTTGTTGACCCACTTTAATACCGAGGTAGTATGAAAATGAGCCAAGATCACTCATTTCAAACTCATGTTGAATTTGTTCTTTGAATAGTTTCACCTCATTACTATAATTTCCTGTAATAAGAAGATCATCAACATATACCCCAACTATTAAGAGCTTATCATTCCTTTTTCTTGTGTAAACTTCATATTATTTTGGGCATCTCATAAAACCCAAATTTTTCATACATTTACCCAAACGGGAGTTCTAAGCTCTAGGAGCTTGAAGAAGCCGATACAAAGCTTTTGACAACTTGTATACTTTTCTTGGTTCATTATGATTTACAAAAACCTTCGGTTGAGTTACGTAAACTTCTTCTTCCAAATCTCCATATATAAATGCAAATTTTACATAAAGGTGGTGCACAGTCCATCCATTTTTACCTGTAAGAGCAAGAAAAATATATAGCATTTCGAGTCGGGAAACAGGTGCGAAGACTTCATGAAAGTCTATCCCGGGTTTCTAAACCTAGCCTTTTGCTACTAAACTTGCCTTATGCTTCAATACTTTCCATTTGGGTCCTTTTTTAGTTTGTAAAACCACTTGAGGCCAATAGTTTTCCAACCTAGTGGGAGTGCAACCAGGTTCCAAGTTTTATTTCTTTTAATGGCTTCCAGTTCACTTCTTATTGCATTTACCCAATCAACATTTTCGCTAGCCATGGAGTACGACAAAGGCTCATCGCTATCATCCATGAATAAAAGTTAGTCACGATCATCATAAATATCGTCCAATAAACGATCCCGTTTTGGGGCTCCTCCTCTTGTCGAGCTTGATGTGGTACTTGTGGAAGCATCTAAACTAGCTAAACTTGTGGGTGTAGATATAGAAGTTTATACACTTGTTTGTTGTGTTTGTTCTAGTGTAGGACTTTGCATCCAGATTTCATCTTCCTGGTCGCTCACATCCTCATGGCTATCTTCTACAAGGTAGCCTTTAATTGTAAAAGTTGCTCTTAATGTAGTTTTTGACATGGTTGACTTTTCCCATAACCAAGCTTTATCTTCTTCAAAACATACATCTCTGCTATTTAGATCAAATAATATATATGCCTCCGTACCTTTCTCGCATCCTAAGTGCACCGAACGTTTGATTCGATCATCAAGTTTTTAAAGATGACTTCCTATTTCTTGAGCATGAGCAATACATCCAAACACTCATAAATGATCAACTTGTGGCTGTCTTCCAGTCCAAATCTCATAAGGTGTTGCATTCTTTAAGGCTTTTGTGGTCACCCAATTAAGAACGTAAACAACATGATGCATAGCCTCTCCCCATAACGTCTCTAGTACATGCATACTATTGAGTATACTTCTTGCCATCTCTACAACAGTGTGATTTTGTCTCTCCACCACTCCTTTTTGCTGTGGAGAGTATGGTGTCGTGCAGTGTCGGTGTAGATCGGTTTCTTAACAATACATGGTGAATTGTTTTGACAGGAATTCACCACCACGATCCATTCGAAAAGTCTTTAACTTTTCACCTATTTCTATTTCAACAAATATCCAAAACTTGTTTAAAATACCAAAAGCTTCATCCTTAGTCT